TACATTATATATATATATATATATATATATATATATATATATATTTATATATATATATATATATATATATATATATATATATATATATATGCTCATATGACGTATAATTCAAGTGTATTTATATTTACTAAGCTAAGTTCCTTGCATTGGTTTTTGTAAAATGGTGACTCAACAAAGACAAAACTCACGCCAGACGAGTGATAATCAGTGATATTAACTTTTACATAACTTTTATAAATTCGAAATGCGGACATGAAATAAAAGTTCAACTACGCTACCTACAACATCAACTGAAAAAACTGAATAATTCCCAAAAACTTGGATGTAAAAAATATTTCAAATACCAAAATTCTGACGCGCAAAAAGATATATATATATATATATATATATATATATATATATATATATATATATATTAATAAATATATTTAATAAAGGAATAAATAAAATAATCAATTTTAAATAAAAAATAAGTAAATCAACCTATAATTAAATAAACACACAGAGGCACACACACAGACACACATATATATATATTTATTTATTTTACCTATTTGTCTTACTTCCTGTCTCATTCATAGTTATCCTCCCTCTCTCTCTCTATATATATATGTGTGTGTGTGTGTGCATAAATATATACATCCGTAGTCACAACAATAAAAAGCCTTATGATGATGCGAATCCATCCGCTTACATACATACACACATGCGCACACACTCACATACAGATACATACACACATATACATATACGCATATACTCTTGGGAAAGATCTTCTCCCTCCAGCTATGGGATAAATAGTAAGAATTGTATCAGTAAATCATGATGATTTCTCCAAAATCTTACAATCTAAATATATTTTCTGATTGTAAATAACCTGCGAAAGGTTGATAGAACATAATAAAAAAAAAACATATCAAACACACGCACACGCGCGCGCATATGTGTGTGTGTGTATGTGTTAAGAGAGACATGTGTTGCTGTAATAAGATACTAGTATGTATATATATATATATATATATATATATATATATACTACAACCCAAAAGTTTGAAGCCACCCTTGGTAATTTTATAGATTGAGTTTAGAAAATTATTATACATGGTTAAAAATGAGATATATGATTTTATCAGAAATTTTATTATGACAAAAAGAAAAAAAAACATTTTATTATTAAATTTTGCTCTCATCGAAATATCCTCCGTCAGACTTGATTACTGCGGCACACATTTTTAGCATTGGTCGCAAACGTTTAAATTGGATAATTGATTCCTTTTTTTTCCCAATGCCTCTAAGAGTTCTTTCTCATTTTTATCGCTCTTTTGTCAAAGTTCATCCCAGGCTAATTCTGGATGAACTTTCAAACTTTCTGTAGTGTACATGCACTCTAAATCTGATTTTGATAAAATAACTGGAAATGTTTGAGATGAAGACTTCTATATTTATATAGTTATAGTCTGGTGGATATAAGCGTCGATTAAAACACATCTGACTCTTTGACTGTTGTGTGTTCAATCATTGGGTCTGTTTGCGCTGAAAAATCCCCGCATATAGGATGGATGAGTATTAACAAATATGAAAGATGATCTGATTATGGATTGAATAAATGATTCCGTTCCAACTATCAGGAACATTACCAGGTGAGACAACATTACCAGGTGAGAAAACATTACCAGGTGAGACAACAGAAAAATGTGATTGCGTACAGCAAACGAGACTTTGAAGTGTGTCACAAATAAAATGAACGAACAATTCCGAATCGTAAGACATATCGTAAGTTAAGACATATCGTAAGTTAGGAGTATTATAATGCTATTGAATGATTTGAAACCAATTCTGGAGACAACGAAAAAGGTAAACAAAAATAAGAAGATTGCCTGGGAAACCTTGGCAAAATAAGAATAAGAATAAGTTAAAAAAATAAAATAAAAAGCTATCACAAAAAAGACATTTTAGAAAACGTGGATTGATGATTGGCTAACAACAAAAAAGATTTTGAATTTGGCAAAAGGTGCATAATGTTAAGAACATTGACTAAAGAGACGAAAGAAATGAGAATATCACCATTCAAGTAAATATCACGAAGAGAAATAGGCGTAGACTGTATTTAGCGATGTGCGTTTTGTTTGGTTTAGAAGTTAGGACCTTCATGGAAATATTCAGTCAAAACTACTAGAAGACAGTAGAGTGTTCATGAAGCAATGTTTTCACCTAGTACTATAGATAGAAATAAATGATTGATGCTTCACAATTGAAAGTATCAAGATACATGCAGAAGATTATTGTCAACTCTGGAAGATGGTTGTGAATGGTAGCAATGGAATGGATACTACAGAGAATGTTTCCCTAAAAAGAATTGGGACTCGACAGTCTTCAAAGATTGTCCTCTTTGCTAAAATGGTTGAAGACACGAAATTCATGGCATGACCACAGCCTTTTCAGATATTAATCTAATAGAAATATTCTCAACATTAAAATAAATGTATGAGAATGGTCAGCAATATCAAGCAAATTTTTCTAGGAAGCAGTTACGTGCCATGCTTAGGCGATCATGTATCTTTTGATGATTTAAATAATAAAATAACAAATTATAATTTATATTTATATGATTGTATGAATCAAATATATAATCAAACTTTTTTTACATGGTATTTAATTATAATAAAAAATTCATGTTTTACTCAGTGTGCATAAAACTGAGGCCACCAAAAGTTATCAATATTTTAATAGGGAAAAATTATTATGAACAGAAAGTAACGCGATAGGCTTCTCCGACAAATATAAACTCAGTCGTTGAAAATTTTGCCGATATGTGTTGTCTACCAATTTTATTCTGAAAACAAGTGACCGGGATAAAAACTAGAGTTATGGTGTACAGAAACGAAGAGATGTAGAAAGGTTTGCTGGATTTGCCAGAAAACCTTGGGAAGGAAAATAATATAAAATGACTGTATAGCTGTTCAATAGTACTTAAAGTTCCATGCACATGTGAATCGACATAAACTACGTAACTAACGAATATTATATATATATATATATATATATATATATATATATATATATATATATATATATATATATATATGCGATATTAAGCCAGCTAGAATATATATATATATATATATATATATATATTCTAGCTGGCTTAATATCGCAAGAATAGCATGTTGAGGATTGACGTTGAGCAATTTAATTCACCGCTTAGATATTTGTTGGTCTTTTTCTTTCTTTTTCTTAGTTTTGGCAGTTAGTCTGTTGGTAACACCAACATTGTTTGATTTTTATATATATATATATATATATATATAAATATATATATATATATATATATGAGAAGATTGATGTTATCTCAAAACCATAAGTAAATACATTATATATATATATATATAAATACATTATATATATATATATATATATATATATATATATATATATGTATTTACTTATGTGGTTTTGAGATAACATCAATCTCTCACAAATTCAACGATAAGTCATATGTATATGTATTTACTTAATGTTTTTCGTACCGAAACACTCAAACACACATCATGTACATATATATATATATATATATATATATATAATGTAAAAGAACAAAAATGAATAACATTTCAACGTTCAAAACATTAATTTAAAACAGTGATCAATAGCAAAAAGAGAAATAAAATCGTTTAGTAACATCATTGTAACCTACCTAAAGAAACGTTTTATTTTAACGTTGAAACAAAATTTACAATTTTGTAGTGGATATTTATATGTTCTAATGTAACAGTGTATAATATATATATATAAATACACACACACACACTCACACACACTCACAGACATATACACACACACACATATATATATTTATATATATATATATATATATATATATATATTGATTATATTGGGTGTAATTGTGTAGTAATTTTTCATTTATGCAAGTTTGTTAAACGAATGTTCTTTGTTACGGTTCTATGTTAAAAAGTTGTGTTCGGTATTGTTTTCCGGCATATATTTAATTATATATTAACTTATTATATTATGATTATATATATATATATATATATTATGATAAAATATAGTAAGTTTTGCTGTATTTATTGGTTAAAGTGCTCAATATCAGTGATATATCGTATGTCCTGGCCATTGCGTTTAAGCATAAAACCTTCTCCACTGTCTGTTGAATTCTCTCTCTCTCTCTCTCTATATATAATATATATATATATATATATATATATATATATATATATATATATATATATATATATATATATATATATATTAGTCTCCAAAATAGGGATTTATTTAATTAATGGCTATTGTACATTTTGAAGTAATTGAGTAAGTATTTCCATAAGGAAGAAATAATTTGAATGAGGAATAATAAATATTGTGCAATTGATATTTTGTTTTAAAACTTAAAATGATACTTTAAGAAGTTTTCAGCTTTATAATCCTGGGTGTCTTTTCTTGTGCAAACATTTACATTTTAATCGAAGTGTTATCTCGTGCGGTTACTACAAAACACACACGATTTTTATTGAACTCTCTCATATATGTACATTTTTTGCATTTAGAAATATGATAAAATTTAATTAGGAAAACCGATGATAAAAGAGAACGTAACTTCAAAATGGGCGTCGCGTTTATCTTTGATGAGAACTCTGGCCGATAATAGCCGAATTAGATCTATTAGTCTTTTTGCCACAGAGCCTTCCTATTAGTTTGTGGCTTAAAAAAGTAAATACCCCTACACACTCAGGTTAAGGGTCAATTAACTTTTGGCATTCTTGATAATTTCCTCAAGTAGAAAAAAAGAAAACATCCTAAAACTCTTAAGTTTTTTTAATCTTTTTTATTTTTTTTTATTCGTTAGAAAATTGTTTTCCTTTATTATCTGCAGATGTCAATTTCCGTTTGTAAGCAAATTCTTGCCTCTTTTAAATGTTAATTTTGCATCTGGTGTCTTTTATACGAACATACACACGCCTGGCCTGCTAAAAGACACTAACACGCATTTGTGTCCCTGCATGTGTATGAGAGTGAGAGATATAGAAAGAGAGATAGAGACAGAGATAGAAAGAGGGATAGAGACAGGCAAAGAGACAGGAATAGTGAAGAGATAGAGACAGAGATAGGGATAGAGACAGGGACAGAAAGAGAGATAGAGACAAAGCCAGAGACAGAGAAAGGGATAGAAACAGATAGAGACGGAGACAGAGATAGAAAGAGAGATAGAGACAGGGATTGAAACAGATAGAGACAGGCAAAGAGACAGGGATAGAGACAGAGATAGAGAAAGGTATAGAGACAGAGACAGAAAGAGAAATAGAGACAAAGACAGAGATAGAGAAAGGGATAGAAACAGAGATAGAGACAAGGATAGAGCCGGAGATAGGGACAGAGATAGAGACAGGGATAGAGACAGGGAGAGGTGCAGTTTAGGCAGATATAGACTGAGATAGATACAGAGGTAGAAGCGGAGAAGTATATACGTTTTAATATTCATTAGCAAAACGAAGATGAATCAAGCGCAGTTATCTGGTTAAAATAAATTCTGGCTTTTCACCGGTAATAGCTTTCCAACGATTTCTTTTGTTATAGTTACACACACACAAACCAAAAAAAAAAAAAAGAAAAAAGTTTTTTCTCGTGATTTTTATCCTAAATATCCTATGAAAATCATTGTCATGAATCATTTGGGGCGCTGGTAAGAAATAATATATCAGAATTGGCTGCAAATATCAGAATGAAGAACGACTTCCAAAGAAAACCTTCCATGTTTTGGATTCTCAGATCTTCCGAAAATCAGGAAAGATGAATCAGAACGGACTTGAGATCAAAGTAAAATGTCTTTCCGTCTATCTACCTAACTAGCTATGTTAGTCTATTTGTTATCTATTTTTAATCTGTCATTAATATGACAGATATGACGTATATCAGTGAGAAGCCTGTAACGATGCAGTCACGTGTTTTCGCGGGTCTGCATAAACAAATGTATGAGAATAATCGAGTGGAGGTGGGGGCATATAGTCTTAAACAGTGATAGATTTTCAATCAAACCGCAAATCACAATCATACAACACCCCCCCACACACACACACATACATACGCACGTACACACGCACGTACACACATTTCCCGTCTAACTATAAACTTTACAAGACGGCGGAGGCCATCATACAAAACACAGGGAGTTAGTTTTCAATTATAATGTTTATATATATATATATATATATATATATATATATATATATTGGTATCTGTTGCATATGAATAGATATGTAGACATATTCAGTCGTGATATGTATTTATATATATGACCATTATATGTATTTCTATATATGTCCTGGCGATTGCGCTTAAGCCTGAAACATACTGTCGCCTCTGGATGTTGAGTTCAGTGTCCGCTTTTATATTTATATACGCTCTATCGCTTAAAAACTAATGGAGACAAAGAAAAAGAGAGACTGTTATGTACATAGTGACTATTTACACATAACTGTGTATGTATCATATATATATATATATATATATATATATATATATATATATATATATATATATATATATATATATTATATATGTATGTATGGTTGGATGAATGGTTGGATGGAAAGAGAGTGAGAGTGAAGGAGCGAAGTATATTTTTAAAAGGCAGACAAGTTTATATGAATGATGACTCATAGATAATATCAATAATAATAATAATAATAATAACAATCAATAAATAAATACCTTTTGGCTCTTAAATAGACCTTGGTAAAGTTTTGCCTTATATTTATTTCCGGATGCATCCCCACTCACCCGAAGATCGTGGAGAGAGAAGAAGTACAATTAAAGAGAAAAAGAACAGGAGATTACTGTTTGATAACATCTCCTATTGTGTGTGTATTTTTATTATTTTTTGTTTAAATTGTTTTATTTACATTTCTACCTTCTTGTATTCTCTTCATATGTGCAAGTGCTTGCGAGCAGATTTACTTGTGAAAATGATACAAAGACAGGCACAGACACAAACATACAAACACGCACACACACACACCCATATATATATATATATATATATATATATATATATATATATATAT